ACTTTATATGCACCTATATCAGGAGTCAGACCTTGTACCTACTATGAGCTTTATATCTCATTCAATTCAAGCTTCTTCTTATAGGTATAAAAGAGGCTTAAAAAGTTGGATCCATACGCTGAGTTTAAATAATGATAATTTCAATCAGAAGGTGATACTTATGAAAAATTAGTGTTTTATAATTATGATTTGCTAAATTTCAGTAGTATAATTTATTATGTAAACAAACAACTTAATTTGATCTGTCACAGGATTTTAATTCTAGTCAGGAAATGACTTGTGCCTATTACTAAAGGAATCATGTTTATGTTTTCAAGTAGAAGAATTCCATTTAATGTGAAAGGATTTGGAGAAGTGACTTCATTCTGTGCTGTTAATGCTCTGTGGATCCATGCATAGCAGTGAATCCGAAAATGTACTCTACAATCAGAGAACATTTTGTCCTCTCCTAGTGACACTTTTGTAATATATGTGCCCAAAGGATTACATATTGTTTATTAATATATTATATGTCATTTCCTCACTTGGCCAGTGCTTTGAAATGGTAATCTAATCTGAAAAATGTTTTTGTGGTCTCTGAAAACATTTTTTTCCTGCTGAGTTCTAAGGCCCAGTGATTCATTATTACCTGGTAAAGATAATTCTTTATTCATCTTCATGCCTCCTTCCCCAAGCATATCCAATTAGAGTCAGCATGTGAAAATTCATAAAACAAACCATTCATATTTTAATGTAAAAAATGGTGTATCTGAAATCCTTTATGAGATACATGCTGCTTTAGCACTTTTTATATTTAGCTGGAGATTCTAGAGGACCATGTAGTTCTGATAACTGTTTAAAATTCAGTACTTATTCAAATCTACCATGTAGACTAGCCACAGGAACCTTTCATACTGGTAACATTTCGTAAGTACCAATCCAGGAAAAAAAGATGAAACATTAATCACTGCATATTTTACAGATAGTTAACCTATTTTGTCACTTGACTATAATACTTTTTACGGTAAAATTATAAATCTTGTAGCTTAAAATTGGTTAAAATTATAATTAGTAGTTGTGCCTAAAATAAATGATGAATAATTTTTATATTCTTATTAAGTTCAATGCCTGATCAACCTGAAAATTTTTAATGTCTATTTCAAATCAATGTATTTTTTCACTAGTAAATTTAGCAAATATTTATTGAACATTTACTATGTGCCCAGTACTATTCTCAGAACTTGGAATAATTTCATATAAAATAAAGACCCCTGTCCTCAGGGGGCTTACAGTCTAG